ACACACATACACACACACATCTCAAGAGTAAAAGTTATTAAAATGATTTGTTTTTACTCCTTCTATTGAGTATCTCTGGCGTGGTGTCTGCTGAGGTATCTGCCGGCACCTACCTGTCATCCCTTGCCCCAGACTATGCTTTTCAACATATTGAAAAGCATAAATAATACTCTGTATCATTACAAAGTAATTTTGATCTCACATTTTGGAAAATGTCTTAGGAAAACCAGAGGCCCTTGAAATATGCTTTGAAAACAGCCAGGCTAAAGGAATAAAATTGACAAGAATTAATTTCTATTTTCCTCTTAATTTTGCTCCCAGTAGAGTAGCTCGGGGTCTTTGGTCGTATTTTTAAGGTTCTGCCTTGGGAGGTTCTGTTTGCACAGTATGTACATTAAGACATTTGCTCTAGAAGCCGGAGGCTGCTCAGATAGCTATTCCTTGAGATGGGTATGTCTAAAACCTGCAAAGGAGCGCTCTAGGCTGGAGGAGGAGCAGACCTTGAAGAGGAAAGGAAGCAAGATGTACACAGAAAGTAAAGGTCTTCCAAAGCTTATGACAAAGGCAGTCCATGAAGGGAAGATATGCTGACTGGAATCTGGGTGTGAGACAGGAAGGCCAACATGGAGTAGGGACTCCTACCCCTAACTATTTGAGTCTATCATGAACAGAAATTTGTTTTGTTTTCTTATGAGGTAGACAATTCTGGAGCTGTGACTATGGGTCAATCAGTTAAGTTTGCTCCATGTGAACAAACATGAAGACCCAAGTTTGGCCCCTTTGCCCATGTGAGAAAGTTGTGCATGCCTGCAGTCCTAGCACTGAGGATAGACTCAGGTATATCCCTGGAACTTGCATAGCCTAAAATAATGAGTCCTGAGTCCCAATGAGAGACCTAGTCTCAAAACACAAAGTAGATGGCTCCTTAGGAACAATACCCGATATTGACCTCTGACCTCCACATGGCCATGTACACACATGCCATGAACTCCCCAATATATGCATCTGTACACACACATGAACACACATACACAAGGTAGTTAATTTTGAAAGAAAATATAGCAAAATAATTTTATTACTTGTATTTACCTATTTGTTAGATTTATCTATTTTTAAACAGGTTTTCCTATGTAGCCCAGGCTGGCCTTGAACTTATGGTCTTCTTGCCTCAGCCTCCTAAGTGCTAGGATTACAAGTTTACAAGTATATAGCAAGGCACATGGTCTTAAAACTCATGTCAGTCATGGAGCGTATCTAACTTAGTTGCCCATGCTTACACTACATGTTTGTGTATTTGTTCTATAGACCTGTACTGTAGCAGGAGACAAGCCAGCAGAAGAATTCAAGTATGCTGATTAACGAGAATTTCCCTGTGACATACTCAAATAAGATATATTTTATGCTAACACACACAAATGTTTATATTGAAGTTTATAGAACTATATATTGTTAACATATTGAGTTATGTAAATATAGGGTGACCATCTTTTGAGGATTGAGTCCCAGTGCATGCTATTTCCCTGACACAGTTATTAATTACACTTCTTTCTTTCTCTAGTTTCCTGTTTTGAGTACTGAATAATTCATTCTATTTCTATATCTGTACTTATAAAATAAAAGTATAATACATAATATATGCATATATTCATTTAAATGTTCATATACATTCATACATACTTATCTATATACACGTATGTATTTATATATTTAAAAGGTGATTTTATTTATTTATTTATTTATTTATTTATTTATTTATTTATTTATTTGATTTTTCAAGACAGGATTTCTCTGTGTAGCCCTGGCTGTCCTGGAACTTGCTGTGTCAACCAGGCTGGCCTCCAACTTACAGATATCCACCTGCCTCTATCTCTGGAGCACTGGAGTTAAAGGCATGTACCACCACTGCTCAGTAAAAGGTGCTTTTAAAAGTTATTCTGGATAAAATACAAATTCAGGGCTGATCCGACAATGGCTCAACAAATATCAAGGCATTTGTTAGGCAAGGCTGACGACCTGAGTTCAATTCCTGGGACCCACAGAAGAGTGAAAAAACAACTCCACAAAAGTATCCCTTGCCCTCCGTGTGTGCTACTTCACAAGGCTATCACCACACACACACACACACACACACACACACACCTCTCTCTCTCTCTCTCTTTCTCTCTCTCTCTCTCTCTCTCTCTCTCTCTCTCTTTCTCTGTCTCTCTTTCTCTCTCTCTCTTTTTCTCTGTCTCTCTCTCTTTCTCTGTCTCTCTCTCTCTCTCCCTCCCCCCCTCTCTCTCTCTTTCTCTCTCTCTCTCTCTCACATAATAATAGTAAAGTTAAACAGTACAGACTTAGGAGAACCACAGCACAGAGAGTGGTAACAGTTCTCTAGTTACAGATTGTTTTAATATTGGCTCACTAAAACTTTTATATCCTTTTTTTATATCCTTTTTATAACCTTTTTTTGTTTTGTTTTGTTTTTTGAGACAGGGTTTCTCTGTGTAGCCCTGGCTGTCCTGGAACTCACTCTGTAGACCAGGCTGGCCTCGAACTCAGAAATCCACCTGCCTCTGCCTCCCAAGTGCTGGGATTAAAGGAGTGCGCCACCACTGCCCTACATCTAGAACATTTTTTATTAGCCTTTTAAAGTATTTTTTATTTTATGTGTTATGGGTGCTTTGTCTACATGTATGTCTGTCTACCACATGTGTGTCTAGTGCCCACTGAGGCCAGAAGAGGGTATCATATTCCCCAGAACTGGAGTTAATGACAGTATGCGCTGCCATGTGGGTGCTGAGAATCAAACATGGGTTCTCTGGAAGGCCAGCCAGTACTCTTAACTGCTGAGCCAGCCCCCATCCCCACCCCCACCCCCAGCCTGTTCGTGTTTTTCTATCATAGTAACACTGCCAAGACTAGCAAACTTGTTGCATGAAAGTCTTTTTAGAAAACATTTTAGTGATTACACATAAATCAAATCTTTTTTCTGACTCACACTTTTTTGTTCCAATCTATTGTAGGCCTTCTATCTACAGAGGCTCCTGTGATTTCAGTTACTCTCTGGGAGAAATGTGGAGGGTTTGCTGTGAGGTGCTTGCATCTGTAATGTCAGAGAGTGCAGATGTTGATGCGAATGGCCCTCTTCCTCTCCAGTGCTGCCCTAAGTCCCCATTTGCCTATGTCTTGCTTCTTTTGCAGCTATTGTGACAAACTGTTCCATGTTAGACTGACAAGATCGTTCAGCTGCCATCACCCACACAGTGGTTTAAGAACATGTGCTCAGTCTTAGCTGTCAACTTGATTGGTTTGAGAAGTATGTAGGAAATTTGTAAAGCATGGCTCCGGATGCATCAGAAAGGATAAGAGAGAAAGATGCCCTGAATGTGGGAAGCGCCAGGCTGGGGGCTTGGCTAGAGTAAAAGCCAGGGAAGAAGAAAGCTAGCTAGCCTAGACTCTTCTTCTCCCTCTGTCTGTCTCCCTTCCCCTCTTCTCCTCCTCTCTCGCTTGCTCTCCTTCCTCCTCTCCTCCCTCTCATCCCTCTCTATCCTAACACCATCTGTGAGTTGCCCTGAACTGCCACCCTGTCTTCTACAATCAACTAAAACCTTTGAACCATTGTTTCTTGCACATTTTCACAACAATAACAAGTCTAAAGAGAGCAACTTGTGCATGCTACATGGATAACATTTTTAGACGGTCCAAGAGCCACTGGGCCTTTCAGTTGTCTAACTTCAAAAGCTGTGATGAGACCCAATTGTCATAGACTTAGAAATGTACTTTCCTAGACTACTGTTTCGTGATCTCTTTGTTTGCCTTTAGTATTCCACAGGGTTTGTTTTTAAAACTCTAGTCTAGTCTGGTTATAATAAAGGAGAAATTGAATAAAGAGTAGGCTGGTTCTTCCCCAGGCCATGTGTAGAAAGGAGGCAGGGTGTCCCTGGTGGTCAGACTCAGTTGCAGACATAGCCACTCAGAAGAGAAGCACCTCAGAGGACTAAGGTAGAATTGGCTCCTTCCATTCTGCTGCTTCTCTGAGTAGATAATCCTCACATAAAGGTACCAGTCATTTATGGGAAGCTTTTAAAAATAAATTAATAAATTGTTTCTGCTTTATGAATTATGTTTGGGTCAGATTATCAAGGTTATCTTTGAAAACATATAGAAGAGGCTGGGATTATGTCTTAATATTAGAGCCTTTGACAAGCATGTAGAGGCCAGAGATTCAGTCCTCAGCAACACACACATGCACACTCATACGCACACACACAGGCACACACAGACACACACATACACATACATCAAATGAAACCATGTTTGTTAATGGATGCCTTTACATCTAGCACACAGGAAGCAGAAACAGGCAGATCTCTGTGAACTCAATGCCGGTTTAGCCTACATAAACTAGTTCCAGGCCAGTAGGGCTCGGGTTATGACTCACCTAGCACATGTGATAGCCTGGCTTTAATCTGTAGGTCATGGAGTATCAGGGAAGGACGTTGGAAGAAGACATAGGTAGATGGAGCCCTGAGTTCAAGGCCAGCTTTGTCTAGATAACAAGTTGCATGCTAGTTGAGACAAAATAGTAAGATGTTGTGTTAAGCGGGGAAAGTCAGATGAAACGTGAATGCTTCTAAAAGACCACGGTGCTGCGGGGCTCTAGCATCTCCGTGCAGCAGCCTCGAGTGGGCATACCCTTTCTGCTTGGACATACAGGAACTTGCCCTCCCCATATTTGGGTACATACACATAGCCAAGACCTTGCAGAAGGCAGGGGAAGGAATCCTGGGAAAATTTCCAACTACAGCTACTTGCAATGGCATGAGAAACAGTCTGGGGCAAGATGAAGGCTGGCCTTCTGTTGACTTCCAAGTCTTAGGGAAAACAACAGGATGAGATAAACGTCTGAGTTCTTATGTGAAAGAAAAAAAAAAACAGTTTTCCCAGAAGTAGCACGTAGCCTAGAAATGATCAAGGTACCTATGGGAGGCCCCCTGACCATTTGTTTCTTGTTTCAGATGACAGTCATGTCCCTCTGCAGGGACCTCAAGGACGACTTTCACAGTGACACTGTGCTCTCCATCTTAAATGAGCAGCGCATTCGGGGCATCTTATGTGATGTCACCATCATCGTGGAAGACACCAAGTTTAAAGCCCACAGCAATGTGCTGGCCGCCTCAAGCCTTTATTTCAAAAACATTTTTTGGAGTCATGCGATCTGCATTTCCAGTCACGTCCTGGAGCTGGATGATCTGAAAGCCGAAGTATTTACAGAAATACTCAATTATATCTATAGCTCCACCGTTGTGGTCAAGAGACAGGAAACCGTCACTGATCTTGCAGCTGCAGGGAAAAAGCTGGGAATATCATTCTTAGAAGACCTTAGTGACCGCAACTTCTCAAATTCCCCAGGTCCTTACGTAGTCTGCATTACTGAAAAGGGCGTGGTTAAAGAAGAAAAAAATGAGAAAAGGCACGAAGAACCAGCTGTCACTAATGGGCCAAGGATCACAAACGCATTTTCCATCATTGAAACGGAAAATAGTAATAACATGTTTTCTCCCCTGGACTTGAGAGCAAGCTTCAAAAAAGTGTCTGATTCCATGAGAACAGCCAGCCTTTGCCAGGAGAGGACCAGTGTCTGCCATGAGGCAGAGCCTGTCCGCACGCTTGCCGAGCACTCATATGCCGTTTCTTCCATCACTGAGGCTTATAGGAGTCAGCCTCTGAGGGAACATGAGAGCAGTTCATCTGGTAAAACGGGAAAGGAAAATGAAGCTCTTGCCACAAAAGCAAAGTCATGCCGAAAGCCAAAGACCCAGACCCAGGATTCTGACTCAACCACAGAAAATATGCCACTCCCTCTAGTAACCTGCCCAGAGGTGAATCAAGAAAGAAGCCCACAGCCAGCTCCAATTCTGTCACACTCAGAACCTCCCAGCAATGAAGGAGATGTCCATTTTCCTAGGGAAGATGAAAAACAACCCTCTGATACTCCTGGTCCACCAGCAGCAGAGGTCCCACCCCTCATTTATAATTGCAGCTGCTGTTCCAAATCCTTTGACAGCAGCACACTGCTCAGTGCCCACATGCAGCTCCACAAGCCAACCCAGGAGCCTTTTGTGTGTAAGTACTGCAACAAGCAGTTCACTACTCTGAACAGACTGGACCGGCACGAGCAGATCTGCATGAGGTCTAGCCACATGCCCATCCCAGGAGGAAACCAACCATTCTTGGAAAACTACCCCACTATTGGACAAGATGGAAGTTCCTTCACAACCCCAGAATCATTAGTACCAGAAAATAGAATTGGCGAGCTGTCCGGCGCTGGGAGTGCCTTGTCAGACACGGACCACGTGCTGAAGTTTGTGAACGGGCAGATGCTCTACAGCTGCATTGTGTGCAAACGTAGTTATGTGACTTTGTCCAGCCTCCGGAGGCATGCAAATGTCCACTCGTGGAGAAGAACGTACCCTTGCCATTACTGCAACAAGGTGTTTGCGCTGGCTGAGTACAGGACGAGACATGAGATCTGGCACACGGGGGAGAGGCGGTACCAGTGCATTTTCTGTCTTGAGACTTTTATGACCTACTACATACTAAAAAACCATCAGAAGTCTTTTCATGCCATAGATCACAGACTCTCCATCAATAAAAAAACAGCAAACGGAGGCTTGAAGCCTACTGTCTATCCATACAAACTTTATAGGCTCTTGCCTATGAGATGTAAGAGGGCACCTTATAAGAGCTACCGGAACTCTTCCTATGTAAGTGCTCAAGGAAACAGTCAACGGGGTGAATCTGTACCTGATACATTCATCGTTCCAAATCTGCAAAGCTCTGAAATGCCCACACTGGACTTCCAAGATGGCAGAAACACATTGACCAGCAGCCCTGCCATCCCAGTGGAAATACCTTCACTGCAGGACACACCCACTTCTGCCAAAGTAAAAAATGCAGAAGGTTTCAAATGGAGGAAGCAGAAAACCAATCTCGTCGATAACTTCAATTCAACTGAGGTGTCAGTTTCTTCCACTGGAAACACCGTTGGCACCACCCTACAGGAAGAGCCCGCATGTGTTTCATCTTTGGGCAAGAGCAGTGAGCACTCAGCCTCTGTGATCAGCTACAGCGGCTCGGTGCCCTCAGTCATTGTGCACAGCAGCCAGTTCTCGTCAGTGATCAAGCACAGCAATGCCATCACTAGCCTGACCGACAACAACCACAAGTCCCCTTCACAACCGGTGGTCAGTCCGACCCTGATCAAGGATAGCAAGCCTGAGGCAGAGAAAGCCAGTAAACTTGCCAGCAGACCCAAAAGCATTAAGGAGAAAAAGAAAGCTGTTCCATGTAACAGGGGAGAAATAACAGAGGAGGCAAAATACGTTGCTGATCATGGAGGATCTTCAGGCAAAACCACAAATGTCGAAGAAACCAGTAAGATCGAAACTTATATCGCAAAACCTGCTCTGCCCGGTACCTCCACAAATAGCAATGTTGCACCCCTTTGCCAAATAACAGTGAAAATTGGGAACGAAGCCATTGTGAAAAGGCATATCCTTGGGTCTAAGCTGTTTTACAAAAGAGGGAGAAAACCCAAGTATCAAATGCAGGAGGAGACGTTACCTCGGGAGAGTGACCCAGAAACCCATGGAGACAGCCCCCTTGGGCTGTGCCAGGCTGAGTGTGTAGAGATGAGTGAAGCATTTGATGAAGTGAGTGACCAGGACACCACTGATAAGCCGTGGCGCCCATACTACAATTACAAGCCCAAGAAGAAATCCAAACAGTTGAGAAAAATGAGGAAAGTCAAGTGGAGGAAGGAGCGTGGGAGCAGAAGCCCCATCAGCCGGTGCAGGTACCCAGCTGAACTGGATCGCGCAGAGGTGAAACTGCCCCCGGATAAGGCCTTCGAAGAAGAGGAGAATAAAGAGATGCCCAAGCTGCAGTGTGAGCTCTGTGATGGTGACAAAGCAGCAGGGGCGGGAGCCGAAGGCAAGCCCCACCAGCATCTCACTTTGAAGCCTTACATCTGCGAGCTCTGTGCAAAGCAGTTCCAGAGCTCCTCCACGCTCAAAATGCACATGAGATGCCATACTGGAGAGAAGCCGTACCAATGCAAGACCTGTGGGCGGTGCTTCTCAATGCAGGGGAACCTACAGAAGCACGAGCGCATCCACCTGGGCGTGAAGGAGTTCATCTGTCAATATTGTAACAAGGCATTTACACTGAACGAGACGCTCAAGATCCACGAAAGAATCCACACAGGGGAGAAGCGCTACTACTGTCAGTTCTGTTTCCAGGGTTTCTTATATCTCTCCACAAAAAGGAACCACGAGCGGAGGCATGTTCGGGAGCATGATGGGAAAGGCTTTGCTTGCTTCCAGTGCCCCAAAATATGCAAAACAGCTGCTGCCCTCAGAATGCACCAAAAGAAACACTTATTCAAGACCTTAACTAAGCAAGAGGAAACAGGTGACGTGTGCCATGAAAACTCCGATCTCTTGGAGAGGCAACTTTGCACTGATTCGGAAGACAGCGACCAAAAGGATGACATAAAAACATTTGCAGAAAATGTTTTTTGAGTAACAACAACAGTTAGAAAAGTCTTCGAAATTGTTTGTGATTTTTTTTAAGTTTTTTAGTATTTTTAAGCTTAGTTTTGTCCACATAATAGTCACAAAGGATGAGGGGTGTTAATTTTCATTTGTGTAAACTCAAAAAAAGAAAAAAGGATCCTAACAACTATTTTGGGTTTTATCATTCACTTCACACAGAATGCATAAAACCAAAATAGCTGAATCCTCTAACAACCCGAGTATTTTGTGAAGGCTAATGAAGTTCTTAGCTGTGGGATTTTGAACAGTGAAAACAGCAGCTGAATTTTAGCCTAATTTAAACCTTTCTCACAAGCACTAATGAGGTCTGCTGAACTGTTGCTAGTCACTGGAGAGAGTAAGGGTCAGGATCACAGTAAACGAGCTATGACAGTATTTATTGCCATTGAGTTTCTGCACTATTAATCTTTGGTAAACTAATGAGTATTTACAAAATACTTAACAATATAATTGAAATACGTAATAGATAACCTAAAGTAGGACATTCAGATATCATCTAGAAATACTTTTCTGCAACATAAACCTTGTAAAATACATATATGAATCACTATAACTTTTAGCTGTCTATATGTCCCTTGTAGAGAATCATAATGAGCAATAGACCTCAGAGAATGAGGACTGCTGTAGAAATCAGTAAAGCATTTGGATCTGACTGACGAGCATGCGTGTGCTTCCCAATGGAATGCTGTGCTGTTCTCTTGAAGTATGGCTGAGCTGTTATTAGAACTGGTCCACTCAAGTCACACAGAACATAGGTCATGCCTTATCTACGGGGAAAGCCTTCCCAGACTTACCTGAAATTATCTATGCTGTATAATCCTCTGCTGTGGCCTCACCTCAGAGAATGAAGAATGGTCAAATTCTTCAGAACTCTCTGCAGTCTTCCAGTCATCCCAGGGCCATGGATGTTGGGGGCTATCCCACCCAGACTTAAGGGGTCAGATAATCCTGACCCCTCCCATCCCACTGAAGCAGCATGCATGAGGCTGAGGGCAAGACACACCTCTTTGGTAATCAAATCTCAGGCACCTGGAAATGGCAGAAAGCCTGATTCCTCAATTTTACACCTTCTTGGAGATAATGCAGCCCACAGGTACTTAGTAGTTAAAAGGACAGCAGACTCCCCTCCCCACTGATGAGGATAAGGGGACCTGATGACCTTCTTTGCCTCTGACGGCAGCATTGTTTTTGAGGGATGGGGAGATAGTATGTGGAAGGAACAGGGCTCTGCCCCTTACAGACAGGACTCGGAGCATCCACCAAGCCAGATGCTCTGTCTTCATGTTTGCAGACATGAGATCCCTGCTAAAGCCCCACTTACATTTCTAAATCATTTTTTACATTAATGCAGACCGCCAACATTGCCCTCAAAAGTCTAGTTGCCCAACAAGTATTTTTTTTTTCATCCTGGAAAGCTGGAACTCATAAGATTCTTACTGTTAAAACTGCCAGAATAGGAAGGAGGGAGAGCACAGCCTGCCCTTCCAGCACCAGGATGGGCAAAATTCACAACAGTTCAAGCAGCCATTCCTGTTCGTTGGATTTAGTAATGGAAAGCCAAGGCTGGACAATTATCAGAGGACTCCAGTTTCTCACACCAGATGTTGTGTTATCTCCACGAAGAAGGCTTAGTGTGGTTTGGGGTAAGCAAGAAAACATTTAAACCTCCAGGAAAAAAAAGGACATGATTCAAGGTGACCTTTTATACTGTAGCACTTTGCTGTTAGCCCCAGTATGTATCTGCATTTATCATTTGTTCATCTACTTTCACCTACATACAGTATTATATACTAGAGGAAGCGGGGGAACTGCAAGCAAGTTGAGCTTTGTTTTGTCTGTTGTATATATGTACACCCACACCATTTGAGTTTTGTTGAGATAGTCACAAAGGGCTTATGAAAATCACTTTTGAATTAATAACTAGATGACAAGCAATCCTGTGAGCCACTAATTTGTTTTATATTGGTTATGACTATATGAGACAATTATGGATTTAAGTTGTTTTGATTTAACTACAAATAAAATTATATGTATTGGTGTCTCCCGGCCCTTATATGTGTATATTTTTTAAGTGGACTTGTATGCTGATAATTCTAGACCAAAGTAAATATGGCAGAATATTTATACCTACAAATAATTTTGCAAATATTTTCTATAATTGTATTATTCGTTTAAAATGTTGATAGCTTGTGTTAGTTTCAGGGAGGGGGGGTGTATATTTTGATAAAATACTTGACTTTGTAATTCTGTATATTCTATTACAATTTATAGAAGAGCCATTTTAAGACAACTGGTTCCTTTTGTTGTTGTTGATTGTGTAAATGTTATGAGTGGTGTTTAAGTTTGCATCAAGTACATAACGACCAAGTAGAATTGAAGTGTAAGCAGTGAACCTACTGTATGCCGGACAAGATATATTGTAACTTGCTGTTTTAGCATCTGTATTTTGGTTAGGAAATATGATTAAATGCAGATGTTAAGGGTTGGAAAGGTCTAATTTTATTTTTAGAAATAATAAATATAAATTTGTTTTGCTTGATTAAAATAGCTTATTCATATTAAGTCTCTTTTTTAAATGGCTTACTGTTAATTCTTTTGTGCAGCTATTTCATCTTTGTGAGTCATGGCCTTGTTACATACAACATTCATTCAATATAATTATTTCCTTGCTTACACTTCATGGAGCCTACATGCTTAGGACTCATAAACTGTGATATTAAAATAGGGACCAAAAATAATAATAATAATAATAATAATAATGACCGGGCAGTGGTGGCGCACGCCTTTAATCCCAGCACTTGGGAGGCAGAGGCAGGCGGATCTCTGAGTTCAAGAGTTCGAGGTTAGCCTGGTCTACAGAGTGAGTTCCAGGACAGCCAGGGCTACACAGAGAAACCCTGTCTCGAAAAAAACAAAAATAAATAAAAAATAAAAAAAAAAATGAGATCAGACATGATGGCTGATTCATTTAATCCCAGCACTCAGGAAGCAGAGGCAGGCAGAACTGAGTTTGAAGCCAGCTGGTCTACATAATGAATTCCAGGCCAGCCAGAGCCACCAAAACAAGCCAACCAAAACGAAACCAAAAAAACAAAACACACACACACCAAAAACCATAAACTGAATAAGAGACATCAAATGCTTTTAGTAAATGAGTGTTGGGAATAAGTCTGATGTTATGGTACATCAAAGTGAAATTCTCACTTGGAAGTATTACAGAAAACAAATATTTACTGAATCTCATGTCTTTGGATCTAAGCCCCATCTCTAAAGGGAAGCATATTACCTATTTTGTAGTGACTTTGAGACAGTCCCACAGCTAGGCAGGGAATTTGAACTTTCTTGGGTCTTTCAAGAAAAATGCTTATAATACACTGGAGAGTGAGGGGACAAGACAAAGTTATGCAGCTTTGGGATGTTCTAGAACAGTGTTTCTCAACCTTCCCAATGCTGTGATCCTTTAATATAGTTCCTCATGCTGTGGTGACCCCCAACCATAAAATATTTTCATTACTACTTCATAACTGTAATTTTGCTACCTCTATGAATTGCAATGTAAATATCTCTGTTTTCTGATGGTCTTAGGTGACCCCTGGGAAAGGGTCCTTGGACCTTCAAAGGGTTCACAGCCTACAGGTTGAGAACCACTGTTTTGTAGACTTCTGTGAAATGGGCTTGAAGAGGCTGTTTCCAGATCAGTGTCATGTGTCCTAGTGCTGAGTTGCTCTTCTGGGCCAGGGATACTTCCCCATAAAACCTGCTTCCAAGACGATGGAGTGAAGCTGTGGCTTCAGGACACTATCAGCTGGCAGTATTTCACATGAAAAGAATCCCATTGCCACAGACTAACCTTAGCTGATTATCCTGTAGCAAACGCTGGAAGTCATGAAGGGAAATATGCAAAGAGGGTTCTAAGCTCGACAAATACAATCCACCAACACAAAGGTAATTGACATTTTTTAATAATTTGAATGAGAATCCAGTGAAGTCTGTGACATAACTTTATGATCAGTAGACTCCCCTCTCCATTTCTCTCCCCTTTTAAATTTAGTTGTAAGGAGATGAGGCTGTTCACAGTGTAGGAATTGCCAAAAACAACGAACAAAAAAAAAAACAAAACAAAATCACCTTCCTCAGTGGAACCACATTCTTCCATTAGGAAGCACATAATGCTGAAGACATTGAGAATATTTTGGAGATAGATTTAATAATTGTTGTTGGTGTTTAGGTATTAGGAGGTAAGAAAAAGGAAGCAAGAATAACTCTTTAAGTTTTCAACTTGGGCAGTTAGAAGAATGGGGTTGCCTACAGACCACTCACATGGTCAGAGATTTGAGACTGGCACCAAGTCACCGAAGCACAGCTGAGTTAGTTTCCGAGAATTCAGAAGCAGAAAGCAGTTTTCATGATGCAGAGAGAAACACACCAAAAACTGAGTAATTGCAACCACTGTAAAGTACCATGAAGAAGAGGTGCTTGGTGCTAGCAGACCATCTGCTGGGGCAGTATGCCCTAGGCCAGTGGTTCTCAGCCTATGGATAGTGACCCCTTTGGGGGTCAAATGACCCTTCACAGAAGCTGGATAATGAGATATCCTGCATATCAGATATTTACATTACAATTCATAGTAGTCACAAAATTATAGTTAGAAAGTAGCAATGGAAATAAATTTATGGTTGGGGATCACCACAACATGGGGAGCTGTATTAAAGGGTCACAGAGTTAAAAAGGTTGAGAGCCACTTCCCTAGTTTAAACCTCGAGGAAAACTGACCTTGGAGAAGTAACATTTGGGATGAGATCTGAAAGATGAGAGACAGCTAACAAGGAGAGGGGTTCTGGGCCCCGGGGAATGGTGTGTGTTGAGGTCCACCTCTGGAGGGGTCACAGTGTATGGGAAGCCGGTTGTGACCAGAATGTAGGTGAACCAGGCTTGAGGTCAAAGAGGATGACAAAGGGCTGAGGTGTGCAGGGCCTCTGTGCTGTAGACTTGGGTCTTGTATGAAGAACAACAGGGAGACACTTAGGTTAGAGATGTGGTTCAGTGCTCGCCTAGCGTGTGTGAGCCCCTGGGTTCAATTCAAGGGATGGAAAGAAGGAAAAAAAGAAGAAAGGGAGGGAGGGAAGAATGGAGAAATAGAGGAAAGAGTAGCCCCCTGAGTTCAAGTCCAGCATGGTCTACATATTAAGTTTCAGGCCACATCAGCCAGGACTACATAGGAAAAAGCTGTCTAAAAAAAAAAAAAATGCAAGCCACAGTGGCTGAATGTAGAAAATGCCTTGGAAGACATTGGTGGCTAGAAACAACCATTAGGAAGTGACTGAGCTAAAGGTGATAGTGACTTAGATTATATGTCTGCAGTGACAATGGAGAGAAAGGAGAAGAACCGAGAGATACTTAGGAGGTGGAATCAGCGGGACTTGGTGTTGGGTTGGGTTTGAGACACTAGGGTTAAGGGGGAATCAGGACTCATCTTTTGTTTTTTCAGAATGATTCAAACCAGACATGAAAGACGTCTCCCATGGAACATATGTGAGGAAGAAGCCAGAGTTTCAGAGAACACCAGTATTTCAAAGATGAGTCAAAGAAATGCCCCCCTCAAAGGGGTGACGTGGAGAAGGCCAGAGCTTTGATGAGAGTCAGAATCTGCAGGACAAACCAGTGTCTGCAGAGATCAAGTTCTCTCAGTGCCCTCTGCTGTAGCAAAACCCCAAAGTCTGGGCAATCAGCTACACACCCTGGTCTCCCTAGTGGTAGGGCAAGGAAATGACATAGCAGCCAGAAAAGGTTATTACTCACGTCACAGGAGCAGCCAGGCATTGCCAGAGAGAAGCTGACACGTTTCTGGGATGTCTGCTTTCTCTCCCACAGTCAACCAACCGGAGACACATACAAGAGGAGAATAGAACATATTTGATTAAGACTTTTAGCCCTGTTTATAACTTTCAAATATCCAGACACATAATATACAGGACTCCATCTGTATTCTTGTCCTGTAAATGTGCGTTTAGGGAGGGTCCAGCTGTCACCACTTCCACAAATGCCAGCCAGCCCTGTATGTCTGTGTACAAGCTCCTGACCATATTAAAATGGTCTCTTCTGTCCGCAGAGTCATTTCTTTACACTTAATATGACAGTTTCTGCATCCCAGTGCTGTTGAGAGACAGACTCTCAGACCTCTGCTTCTCTCTGTGTGAGGCCTCACTGCTACTCTGTGGGATGAAGTCCTTGATTAGTATGTGCTGTTGACATGAGCACAGCCATGTCGCAGACCCTAATGCTTCAGACACGTGGGAATAATGAAGCCTTCCCTTTACCCTTCTGCAGATGCTGATAGTATAAGCAGGAAAGTATGGACTACAGCTTCCTCCTCCCCAGTGTGTACGTCCTGAGACAGCTTCCCTAAAGAGACCTCCTACCAGGATAAGCTAAATCTGCTCCCTCATTAAGACAGACAGAGAGATATACATATAGATGATATAGATATAGCTAGATATCCATCTTCTCAGTTCAGATGTATAGAGTAAGTGCACTGTTTCTGGGCCGCTGCTGGTATGTCTCGATCAAAGCACACAGCCCACCCGACCTCAGATTTTCTGTATCCATGTCTGTGTGTCTCTCATTTCTTCAAAGATTCCTTCATTGCTCCAGTTGGGTCAACCCCACAGCCATTCAGGTCTTGGCCTGCTATCTAGGAAAATCCATCCTCAACTCAGCCTCTGCCATCAAATAGGAGCCTCAAGAAGAGTGAAGCCCAGGGTCATTTTCCCCAGCACCATCCTCCAAGTAACTGTAGAGTGACATCAAGGTGAGACGTTCACCGAACATCCGATGTGCCATTCAGCCTGACCAACATCCCAGTTTGCCCAAGACTGCTCCCAGTATGCAGACCTTTCAGCAGGAAAACTGACAAATGGAGATGGATGTTTGGTCGTGGTAATGGGAAGTTTCTCTAGAAAGATGGGGCTCAGGGAGAGGAACTAGCAATCATTAACGGAAGAAGAAGTAACTGGGAACCTAAGTGAACGGAAAACAATTGGGCCATACAGAAATGTCTCCTGGCTGTACACATCCAGGCTGGAAGAATAGAGGTGATCCCCACAGGTCCCACTTGCAGACCCTACTGAAGTCCTTCAGTCAACTCACATAGCTCCATCCACTCCCAGTTCTCTGAAGAACGAATGGCTTCTGGCTGCCCACACAAGGCATTTCCCCCAGAATTTTTAAGAGTCCACCTTAAGAAAAAGTGCTGGCCTTTCCAATTCTTCTCAGTATGGAATATCTGTGGGTTTTCCTGCTGAGCCCTTTCCTATTTTATGAGGAAAGTCCCTAAAGTTCCTTCACAAACCACCCTGACACTCTTCTTCAACAGCCTTGCTTTCCAAGCAGATCTGAAATCAGGATCAGGTGACTGGGGCTTGAGTAGGACCTTACAGAGAACTTCTCAGATGCCAGAGACAGAAGCCGTTGTTCAGCATAAGGAAAGGACTATACGTATGGCCTTGTGTTATATGACCGATGACATACTGGATATAGATGGAAGGTCCAATGAGGGTATAATG